TTTTTTTTTTTTTTTTGTGACAGACTTGCCGTTTCTGTAATGGTTGCCACTTTCAAAATTAAATGGTGATTTCTGTTTTAATGTGTTTTTAATTGTAATTAAATTAAACTTTTAGAATGGTTTTAAAATGATACAACAAATGGTTACTTTCATAATCTTGCATAATAATAATACAGTAATTATGAATAACAGTTTCTTTTTTTTTTTCTCTTATTCAACGAGATACATGAATTAATCGTCCATTTGTATAATGTTGACATTACGGATTATACCGCACATATATCAACTCCCGTTTGGAATGGGCTACAATTTTGGAATTTTAATACGATCAGGGAAATGATTATGGTTTGAGATCCACAAGCAAAACCAACAAAGAGAAATGATGGCATTTTTTACTTTCTAGGTGAAGTAAACTTCTTCTATTAAGATATCAACATTCCACACCAAATAATACTACAAATAGGCGAAAAGAGTATTTTACTTGCTGTATTTCTAAAGCTTATTAAAATAGTTTGTTATATTTTATTTTATAGTGAAATAAATATCTTATTTTACAATTTGATTACAATAAATCATCTTAAATTTAACAAAAAAACAACATAACACTTTATATGGCATAAAACCAATTGAAGTCATGATGATTTAATATTCGTGAAACATGTTTCTGTAACATGGATATTTTTTCTTCTCAAAGCCACGAGATTTCTTTTTCTTCTTCTCAATCATCAAAAGCCTTCAAAGTTCAAACTCCTTTTCTCACACCCATGTCTTCTCTTTGAAACTTCCATGCCTTAACTCCTCCAAATCATCACCAAACTTAGAAATTTCTGGCAACAAATCATTGGGCATGCTTGATTAGGGAAGCAATTCACCATATCTTCCATCCATTTGCACATTTGAGAGGAAATTTTGGGAGTTTTTAAGGTAAGTTGTCTTTTCTCTCTCTAAACCCACCATCTCCATTGTTGAAAGCTTGAAAAAAAAATATTGATTTTGGTTGTCGTAGCAATGGATTCACATTGATGGCATCATTAGTTAAATTTGAGATGATTCATTTCAATTGAAGAGTAAATAGGATAATTTATTTCAAAATAAAAGTATATGAATAAAAAACTCACAAAATAAAATTGAGAGGGTCAATTTGATAAACTCAAAAAGTACAGGGACTAATCACTTTTCACCTTAGAAATAAGCATGCTAAGGTTAATATATCACTAAAAATTTCTGAATTTCTCAACCCGAACTGCCTCGTGAAAACACTTTGGAGGCTGCAAGATTCATTTCATTTCCCCTGGAAACTTCTATTGAGAAGTAAACATGGACATTTTTTTTCCTCAAACCAACCCAATATAACTTCTTTTCAAATATTGAATTGGAATGTGACTATATATTCCTGTTATTAAAATCCTCATGGACAGTAGAGAGTCTAACAAGATTCACATGCTTTTGATTGTCTCTTGCAGGTCATTGATTCGACAATTCAGGGGCGTGCTCCTTCGACATGTCTATCATGAAGCCAACAATGTTGTAGACTCACTCGCAAAACATGGAGCAACTTTGCAGGATGATTTTGTTATTTTCAATGACGTACCTGCATTTTGTTTTCCTTTTGTTGCCCATGATAGAGCCAGTTTATGTAGTGTACCAAACTAGCATACTATGTGCTTTTCATTAATGAATTTCAATTCCCCGTTTGCACCAAAAATAAGATTTCTGAATTTTGTAAAAAGAATTATTGTCATCCTCCTACTAAAAAAATCCATAATAATTTCTCAGGAAGGGTCAAGCATAGTCCCTCAATTGACGGATACCATCACTCTGTCTATTCTTCCATTGAAATCTTTGTTTAGTTCCACAACACTCCTACCTAACCCTGATGTCGCACCAAAATAGACTTTCCCCGTCTAAAACAAAATTCTTTTTAACTACTCAAAATTCTTCTTATATATATACGTATATAGTCCCATCCTTTTCTAATTTAATTTATTAATAATGTTTTAATCTTTTTCATATTAATATTGTTTAATCTTAATTACACCATTCCATCCAACTTTAGTTGGGCTATTTTTTAATAAAATAAAAATGTAAGAATTAATTAATAAGTTTCAAATGTCAGTCGCAGGTGAGGGAGACACAAAGTTGAATCCTACTCATCATGGGGTTGATATTATGCCACTCTAGTCAGTCCAAACTTGCAAACTTTTTCCCCATACACATTTGTACATATTACCTTTGAGTGCAATGCCTTTCGGCTTCAAGACATGCCTCTTTGTTTCTTTGAACATCTTGTCTTGTATGTAGATGGCAAACGAGTTAAATGGACAAGAAAGAGCTAATAAGAGGATCATTAGAAAGAGACAGCCTAACCCAACAAAGGAATTAGAAGAAGAAACTCATCACTATCTATTAAAGGGAAAAAAAAGGAGCTAATAAGAGGATCATTAAAAAGAGACGGCCCAACCCAACAAAGGAATTGGAAGAAGATACTCAGCACTATCTACCATGTAGGGTAAATACTAAATGCATTGTGATTGGGCTATAGGCCTTAATCTGAGGCTGATAATGGGAGCCCAGTTTATTTGCACATCTACATCAAGGAAAAAAAAATGAAGGTCCCACCGGGAGTCGAACCCAGGTCGCTGGATTCAAAGTCCAGAGTGCTAACCACTACACCATGGAACCATTTTTGTTAATTCGGAAGTTATCGTAATATTATATACTCAGAAAAAATGATTTCAGAAAAATATAAATCTTCTTGAACACAGGCCTGAGATCCAGAAATCAGAGCATATGCAGCTCGATATATTGGTATGGCTAATTATAATTTTAATAATAATTTTAATTAATTTGTGCAGCTACAATGATATGGTAGTAATAGTTATAGCTGTGTTGGCAGAGGCAAAGTCCGTGCTTTGCATTTTTAGAGATATCGTAAATTATATATCCCCATTCTCCTAATTAATTTCCCCATCTTAAACAAATTTTTTTTTAATTAATAGTGTTAATTGTGTGAGCTGGCGTTGTTCAGAATTCTAAGAGACAAAACTCCCCTTTCTTGATTTTACCTGTTAGATCATGTTTAGAAATTAGGTATACTAGCTAGCTAGCTAGAATTGAAATATGGGAGTATATCTTTATCCCGCCGAATTGATCTGCATTACTAATCTAGCCAGCTACATTATTTGATTTAATTAATTAACCCATATAATTAAATAAATTCTACCTTCTATGTTGCGTAAAGCCTGCTAGTGCTAACTAAACCTACCAATTTACCAATCGTTAAGTGCTTACTAAGCGTAAAATGTCGTCTACTGTGTTCTCCACATGCATATATATATATATATATGCTTTCTGCGGACTGTGATCTCTCTCTCAATGCAAATTGTTTTATATATGTATTAGGTTACCCTTTATTCATATCTTACACATTATTTTTTTTTTTATAATTAACACTTTTAAAAATTTTTACTCTCACTCAACATTTTTTATAATTTAAAATTTATAAAAGAAAAACTTAAAAATTAATAGTTAAACTTCCTATTTATATCTTAACTTTATTGGTAAATTAAAATTATTTGTGAATTTTAAAATTATGAAAGATATTGACCAAGAATAAAAATGATGGGGGATGTTGGTCTTAAAAAAAAGGATCATGATTGGTGCACATCCGAATTTAACACCCGGGTGTGCACACTCCACATATTCTTCTTTTTTTTTTTTTTATGTGGAGTGTACACACATCATTTTCCCAAAACAAATTTAATGTATAAGATACAAAAAGGAGGTTTGACCTATATACCATACCATTGTTCTTATATATTACTCCTGAGTTTTAATTATAAACTACAACAGCTCAAGATTAATAACATCTCTTAATCTGTTCATATATATTTTTGATATTCATTTACGTTTGTCCCAACCTTAAATATGTAATTTTTTTTTTGAACCTCATCAAATATGTAATTGAGCCAAGTAATTAATTTTGTACACCTAAGTTATTGTTTCACCTTTATATTTCTTAATTATTATATATATGAATTGCCTTTTTCAAATCATTTTTATTTTAGTGGGAATTGACGCACAATAATTTATTTAGGGTAAATTCTAGATTAGTCCTCAACTTTTATCATAAATACTAGATATTGTCTCAATCTTTCATTTTAACCAAAAATGATCCCTTAAGTTTGCAAAATTACCAAACTTAAAAATCCTATCGTTATCATTTTAGTTAAAAATTCATTAAAAAAAATTCTAATTACAATTTTGAAAAGCCACCAAAACTTTTAAATAGAAAAAGAAAAGCTTCTAAATTATTTTTTTTCCAACATCAAACATATATTTCATTTTTTTCAACATTGCTGAATTCTATATTTATATTTTTTGAAAAACTCCAAAAAAGCTCCTTTTTTTTTGACCTTTTACTTAATGTAACACCCTTACTTTAATCATAAAAACTATTGATAT